ACTCTTGGGGGAGTAATGTATGCTCATGCTGGACTTTTATTGTGATGTAATTAATATAATATCGTCAAGCCAGTTTGTAAATTACAATGTTGCATATGCAAGTTATAAAGTAAAAACCCACGGGATCCTCTGTGTCTTTAGAATATAGAGGATGCATGCAACTCACCTATAGCCACCTTTCACTTTATGGACCCCATGTGTATCGTATTTATTAAACAGACTATACAAAGAAACCCTCTTAGTTGTGGGGCCCGTTGACTGAGTCAATCTTATTCAGCCACCAAGATCATTGTAATCATTCTTATAACTTAGAATATAGAGCATCTCTCCTCAAATAGAAGATGCTAAACATGGAATAAGACGTCTTCTTTATGGCTTGGAGCCTGGAATTCCCATTTATGCAAACACCCCCTAATTCATGCAATGAAGTATAGCGCGTGAAAGACGTACCTTCTTTATGTTTTGAATTCCCGTTCGTTGGAGCCTTGGAGGTGATGTATGATCATCATAGACTTTTTTTCTGATGCAATGTGCGTACTGGCAATTATTTTGCTTAAACTATTACCATTGTATATTTATGTTATAAAGCAGAGCAGGTCAAATGTTGAACGAGATATCTCATTTATGACCTGGATCCTCGTTAGCGGTGGCATGTGAATATCATGTTGTGTAAGTTTTATAGTTCCACAATGTTCAATAAATTATTTTATGAGTGCTCTTCTTCTAGCTATTCGTAGCAAATTAGAATCGCTTTTTTTTTTCTCTCTCTCTCAAAAAAAAGCCTCTTCATGCTTGGGGTCTACATTTTTTTTTTGAAGATTAGGTATAACTTACTGTTTATGTCAGAAAGTTAATCTCAGAATTGAGTAGGGGTTGATAAGGGGTAAGAGGCTTTTGATCCTCTCTGATGCCTGATCAAATTGGAAAAGACAGATCCTTTTGCAACTAGCAAACATTAGGGGCCCTGGGGCAGGTTTCCTCCCACGTACCCTCCTACGCTCAAGTCAATGATTGATAAAATTAGTATGAAGTATGTTAGATTGAGTTAAAGGTTTAGAGTGCCCACACTTGAGAATGGTGAAGATCTCTTACGTTTAGATGGTCACTAAACTCGGCCGGCAAAAATGGTACTTCATGTTAGCCTCATGGTTATGAGCCTACTCCCTAATCTTGTTTTGGTGATTACAAACAATTTCTAACATTGTACGTCAAGTGCTTGCATTTATTTTGTTAGGTAATCTACACACATATCAGTTGGAGTTTGGTTGGATTGTGCCTACACGTTTATATCCATTTGAGGATGGAAGGAATATCGGAATAAAGCATTTCACAATTCAAGTCAAAGATTCAAGTTCAAGCTTCATCCGCAACCAAGTTGAGCTTCATTGTAGATCAAGATTGCGTAGGTATAGTTTTTATAGTTTAGGGTTTATACTTTGTCTATAGATACTTCACGCTCAATCATATACACACATACACATTTTTGGTTTTCAAGTTTATATAAATATGAAATAAATATAATTGTTTATATACTTACATTTTCATATTTATTGTTTTTGTTTTTGGTCTAGCTATACAAATATGAAACAATAGATATATTCATATACATACTCATACGTTTCATATTTATTATCATTTTGGTTTTTTGTAAAATGCATATATTATGCAAAATATCATTTTTGGAAAAATATTGTGTTATTGGTTTATGGACTAAACAACACTAGTTTATATCTTTTACTTAGTCTATAAATCCATTCAAGAGTTTTCAAAACTTTGTTTAAGTCAAAATGTCAAAAACAAGTGTGTGTTGACATTTCATATTTTGACCTATTTTGTAAAAATGATGAGTTTTCACAATTAGGACATGCAATTTAAAAAATTCTTTTTGTAATATGTTCATTTTCATGTTTATAATCATTTCTCAAAGTTTTATATTTTTTTGAAATTTATTTACTATTTTTTAAGGCACTTCAAAACTCAGTTTTCAAACATAAACAGTGCATGTGCACGTTTATAAGTCGACTTATGTACTGTAGCAAGTCGACTTACGAACTGTTCTAAAAATTATAAATTTTATCTGCTAAGTCGACTTAAAATTATAGCAAGTCAACTTATGAACTGTTTGTTAGCCTTCTTGTTTTAATGATGTTTAACAAACAATTTACTTCTAATGTTGTTTGTCTAGTGTTTGTGTTTTCGTATTTATTCTAAGCAAACAACATGTTGGAGGATGGATGGATTGCGCCATAACGATCATATCAAATGGAGGTTGGTGGAATAGTGGTTGAAGCTATGCAAATTCAAGTTAAAGATTCATGTTCAAACTTCATCCGCAAGATTACCAAGAAGAGCTTATTGAAGATCAAGATCTATCTTGGGTAACTTAGTTTAGGTTTTATATTATGTGTGTTAAGTACCTTAAGCTCAATATCATATACACACACGTATTTGGTTTCTATGTATATATATAGTTATATATATACATGCATGGTTTTGAGTTTTCATGCTTTGGACACACTTGTAAAATACATGAGTTTTCACAAATGAAAAATCAATTTGAGAAATTTTTTTTCTAACATGTTTGTTTTCATGCTTATAAATATTTCGCAAAGTTTTATCAAGTTTGGAATTGATTTGTTATGTTTAATGGAATTTACAAAATCATGTTTTTGTTCGTGCACATGTTCGTGCATGTTTTATAAAACAGATAAGTTTTTATAAATGGAAAGTGATATTCAAGAAATTTTTTCTTTGATATGTTTATCTATATGTTTAGAAACTTTTCTCAAAATTTTACTATTTTTGGAGTTGATTTACTATACCCAATTGATTTTACAAAATCATGTATGTCTCCAGATTTTTAGAAACTATATATCTGTGTTCAAATATTTATTTCTCTCAACTGGGAAATTATTTTTCAGAAATTCTTTCTTTAACATGTCATTCTATCTGTCTAGAACCTTTCCACAAAATTTTATAATTTTTGGAGCTGTTTTACTATTTTTAACTGATTTTACAAAGTTAATATGTAGTGCTACAGTACCCACGGTCGACCGCCACGGTCGACCGCCAAACTCTCTGGAAGTTACTGTAGCATAACGGCTATATTTTCCAGATTTTGATATATCCATTATTTTATCTTTTTGTTTGGTTTTCTTAGGTTTTTGGGCTTGTTTCATGAGCCTATATATACTCCATGCCCTCATACTTCTAAGGGCACTTAAGAAATGTTTTAAACAAGTTTAAAGAGTTTTAAACAAGGGTTTAAGTTTGTTTAATGTTTGTTTAGAAGCTTTTAAG